AGGTATATACTGAAATTATTTAACACAAACCTCCACAGTAATGGTCAGGGTTTTGAGCAAGACTACTCAACATAGCCATCTGCAACTGAAAGAACAGGACAAAAAACTGCCCCTTAGCTATGTGAGAGAACTGGAATCATCACAGGATGGAGCCTCCTCAATCCATCCAGCTCAGAAAAATACCAAGGTTGGCAGAATCAAATTTTACAGAGAAAATGGGGAGAATTGACAGGGGGGCTTGTCCTCTTGTTTGTTTCCCAGTGACCATCATCTACCAATATAGTCTGATCAGATTGATATGGGTCTAAAAATCCATTTCATTCAAGAATGCTTGGAGCAGAGATACCAGTATTTGCTTTTGTTGGTAATACGGCGGTGTTTCCTTTCCTATATGGGAAGTGGGGCGGGGGAGTGAAACGGTCTTGTCTGGACCTTTCAAAACCCTCCTCCTTCCCCACACCTGAAGCAATCTCATTTAAGGCCTTTGGCAATTTGAGCTTTAAAAGAGTAATCCAACATTTTAGATACCTCCTTTGAAGTCTAGCCCCAAGCCCACAGCAGATTCATTGCTCAATTGACATGGAAACCTCCAGTCATCACTGGTTGAATCCCAGCTGGAATTTAGGGATGAACAGATCAGGCTATTTTCTTTCTGTACCAATTTTCTATGGGTTCACTCCAAAGTTCATTCTCTCCCATTTTTTCATTGTTCTTTTATAATTTAATGAACAATTGTAAAATTTTATAAGGATTTTATCCCAAAATACTCACTATACACATATTACCATGACCTGCATATTTTAGATTCATTCTGTTGTATGAGGATTATCCGGAAAGTAAGGTTACAAGGCATGTAGCTCTCATGGGGAATGTTCATGGGGGAAGTTGGTATCACTGCCATGTAGTGGGAAGCCAGCTGAAGCAAATTAGCAGTGCCAGTCATCAGTAGCTCATCAGCTGGCACTGTGGTGAAGATTAGAGATGAGGATCTCATTCCGTTTCCCTCCAAGTGCGAAGTTTGCACTGTAATACTCTACCTAAATGTTAAGGGCATGAACGCCACTAAGATTCATTGCGAATTCATTTCAGTTTATGGACTTACTTACTTTACTTACTTGGGCGATCCCTCATTGGCCGAGTAGGATAGTCTTCCAGGATCAGTGTTCTGGTGGGTCCGTAGGTGACTGTGGAGCCCTATTCAGTTTATGGAGAGCGTGTAATGTCAAGATAGCATGTGACAAAATGGCTATGGAATATATTGTGAGACCATGAAGAAACTTCACAGAGCTATCCAAAACAAACATCATGAGATGCTAAAGGTGTCCACACACCACTCATGCTACACAAGAGTTGTTGACTTCATTTGTTTGGGATGTTTTATGCTACCCCTCTCACAGCCCCGATCTCACACCCAGGGACTATCATCTGTTCACTGAATTGAAGGAACATCTTGGTGGAAAACATTTTTCCAACAATGACGTGGTGAAAAGGAAAATGACAAACTGGCTAAAAAAGGCAGAGGGAAACTTCTATGACACAGGCATCAAAAATTGAATGGTGATTATGTGTAAAAATAATATAATATCTATGCTATAGTATAATCCATGTAAGTTTTATTAAAATATATTCATTCTTTGTATTTTTTAAAAAAAGTCTTGTAACCTTATATTCCAGATAACCCTTGTATAATATGTGAAGGCTCCCTCACCAAATTCAGAGAAGTCTAGGCTAGAGGAATAATAGGGTCCTGATCTACACATTATTTCAAGGAGGGTAAATCACATCAAAAGCAAGTTGAACCATATCATTGATGGTTTCTAGAGCATAAAGTTCAATCTGTCAGACCTGTTGTGGAAGTAGAGTGCTGATAAGAGATGAAGATAAGATAAAGGTTGATAAGAGCCCTTGTTTTAGGCATTCTTCTGCCAGGGATGAGTCTTAATTTTTTGTTAGATGCGCTTCATCTTTGTCTCTAATTGTGTATTATATCTCAGCACTGGCAGCCTGTAGGTTACATGTCTGTCAGTATGATGGTGAATTGGTTCTGGCTTTTAGGCTAAATGTTAAAGGAATTATCCAGGATTCTCAATATTATAGTAGTAAATCTATTGGGGGATAAAATTGGGCACGGTGGCTAGTTCTATAACATTCCAACTAAACTCCAGAGTGGTTTCTCTGCTTCAGTGTCTTCAGAGCTACCAGCTGCCTCTATGCTTTTGTTTAAACAATTGATACTGCGTGTAAAATAGGTGAAAGGTCTCCTCTCAACTAGACATGTTTCCGTGCTTAATTGTGTTATTCCTCAGCTTCATTCAAGTGCGTGGAAGGAAATTGAGGGAAATTATTTATTCAGTGCAATTATCTAAGCATTAAGTTCACTGATGTCTGTTTTAGAATTGTCCATTTAGTTCAGATTTGATTACCCATTTCTTGAAACATATCCATTTATCATCTGCGGATGGAAAAAAGAAATATGATTTTAAGGAAGTATTAAAGGCAAAATGAAAATGAAGTTAAATGAAGCACTAACTAAATCAGCTTCAAAGGCCTTTTCAGTATTAAGAGCCACACGAGAAAGCTGTGCTGTGCTAGCAAGCTCTTATACATGGAATTAGAGCAAAAACATTCTGGTTTTATCTTGAAATAATCACAACTTTTACTGTTGAAAGAAGAGAAATTGATCTATTGGGCCTAATTACTACCAGAATAAAGTTTAGGAATGGCATGAAAAAATCATGGTAAGCTTTTGAAGCTAGCTAGCCCCTTAGTTATGTATTTATTTCTTATTTTTTCCCCAATATGAGGTCCAAAGTGGCTTGTTGCTGCTGCTGCTGACAGTGAAACCTTTGTTTTCTAATGGTTCAACATACACAAACTTTGCTTTATGCACAAAAAATTAAATGTTGTATAAAAATTTCCTTCAGGCTGTATTTAAGGTTTGTGTGAAACATAAATGAATTTTGTGTTTAGACTTTAGTCCCATCTCCAAAGCTATCTCATTATATATATGTATATACACAAATATACCAAGGACCCCCCTCCCTATATCAAATACGGACAAGTCTTGTCCAAAGCATTTCGGATAAGAGATAGTACCTTTCTTGCTTAGTTTGCTCAAGTGGTGCAATACCAGCTAAACAGTGTAATTTCTCCAGTGGTGTAGGCTGCAGACACCCTGTGATAATGTGGCATGTCTCATTAAGAACCACATCCACTGTTTTAGCATGATGAGATGTGTCCCACACTGGGCATGCGTACTCAGAAGCAGAGTAGCAAAGTACAAGGGCAGATGTCTTCACTGTGTCTGGTTGTGATCCCCAGGTTGTGCCAGTCAGCTTTCGTATGATATTGCTTCTAGTGCCCACATTTTGCTTGATATTCAGGCAGTGCTTCTTGTAGGTCAGAGAACAGTCCAGGGTAACTCCCAGGTATTTGGGTGTCCTGCAATGCGCCAATGGGCTCCTTCCCAGGTAATCCTCAGAGCTCGAGATGCTTGTCTTTTCTTAAGATGAAAAGCATATGTCTGTGTTTTAGATGGATAGGGAATCAGCTGGTTTTCCCTGTAATAGGCAGTAAGAGCACCTAAAGCTTTGGAGAGCTTCTGTACACTGCCCTGAGTCACCTTCGGGCTGAGAAAGGTGGGGTAGAAGTACTGCAAATAAATAAATAAATAAATAAATAAATAAATAAATAAATCTCAGAGCTCCCTGCTTGAGTACTGATGGTATGATTGTCAGCATAGATGACACTCTCTGTCCCTTCTGGCAGTGGCCGATCATTTGTGTGAATGTTAAACATTGATGGGCAAGCACGCTCCCCCGCAGGCCATTCTTCTGTTTTTGCCATCTGCTTCTCAGGCCCTAGAATTCAACAAAGAGCTCCTGTTTTTTTTAGCAGATTTCCTATAAAATGGGTGAGGTGGTAATCCTTTGTGATATTTTACATTTTTCTCAGGAGAAGGTGATATATAGTTACAGTGTCATTAGCTTTTTTTTTTTTGTTGTTGTGTCAGGAGCAACCGCTCCTGTTGTGAGAGAATTGGCCGTCTGCAAGGACGTTGCCCAGGGGATGCCCAGATGATTTCTGATGTTTTGTCATCCTTGTGGGAGGCTTCTCTCTTGTCCCCGCATGAGGAGCTGGAGCCGATAGAGGGAGCTCATCCGCCTCTCCCGGGATTCGAACCTGCGACCTGTCGGTCTTCAGTCCTGCCAGCACAGGGCTTTAACCCACTGCGCCACCGGGGGCTCCAGTGTCATTAGCTGCTGACAGGTCTATAAAGACAGTTCCTGTAATCTGCTGCCTTGGTGAATCTAAACAAAACTTGTTCTCCTCAAGCTCTCAGCTTAATAACGGGGTTTGTGACAACAATCAGACTGTTCCAAAACATTTCTTGGTGATCTGAGGGCACTTTCAGACAGCATGAAAATGCAGGTTTAAGAAGGAGGACAAAGAACATACAGACCTGTATGTTCTAGGATTTCTTAAATTTTTTTGTTAAAAACTGAAAATGGTACTTCAATTACTAGGTAGTAATCCATCCAAAGCTGCAGAAGAAGAGATGTGGTTAGATTTAGAAGATTAATTTTCTTATTGGATTTTTAACTATTTGCTATTTAGGCACAATATTAAATGGAGACAACCCTATCAGGGATAAAAGACAGGAGTTTTCATAAGGACTTCCTTCTTTTTCTACATTTTACAACCTGCTTATGGCAGTTTTTTTATATCTATTCCGATTAGCTTTATATGGCGGCATCTAATTCCAAACCAGATTTCAAGACATTGCTTCCTGGTTTTATTCTGATGTCTTGTGTATAAAAAGAAAATGAAAATATTTCAAATAGAGGTGAACTTTACTGGTGAATCACTCAAAAGACTATTCTTGGGGGGAGGGTTTGTAACTTGTGAACCAGGTTGTGAAATTGGGGCAGCGGGGCATTGTATCTCAACCCTAAATAAATATTAACATTGCACTTTTATTTCTTGCCAGGTCATTCCCTTTTGCTCAATGACAAAATCCCTAGTCATCATTGGCCTCACTGTAAAAGAAGACACATAGTAAAGATCAGACTGCCCGATACATGCTTGTGTGAATCTGAATCTTCAGAAAGTATGCAGTTGTGCTGTGAATCCATCAATGCCTCCTGCATAAAGAGCAGCTGGTCCATTAGCATTCGAATTTCCATGTATGTATCCATGTTATGTGTGATCCTGGGTACTGTAGCTGGCAATTTGACAGTCATCATCTCCATTGCACATTTCAGGCAGCTCCACACCCCAACCAATTTCCTCATCCTCTCTATGGCTACTGTTGACTTCCTCTTGGGAATCCTCGTCATGCCTTACAGTATGGTGAGATCAGTGGAGAACTGCTGGTATTTTGGGGAGTTATTCTGCAAAGTCCACACCAGTGTCGACATCATGTTGAGCACAGCTTCCATCTTCCATCTATCATTCATCTCCATTGATCGCTACTATGCTGTATGTGACCCACTTCGATACAAAGCCAAGATCAACACGTCTGTCATACTAATAATGATCGTCATAAGTTGGGTGTTACCCGCCACGTTTGGTTTTGGGATGATCTTTTTGCAGCTGAATATGACAGGAGCCAAAGAAACATTCTACAAACTCATTTACTGTGTGGGAGGCTGCTTCGTCTTCTTCGATGAAACTTCTGGAGTGATAGCCTCCATGGTTTCTTTTTACATCCCTGGATTTGTCATGGTATTCATCTATGGCAAGATATACACTATAGCCAAAAGACAGGCCAGATCTATTAAGGCTATGATGAGCCAAGCACAGATAAGATTTCAAATGAGGCATCACATTTCTCGCAGCAGAGAAAGAAAAGCTGCCAAGACTTTAGGCGTTGTAGTTGGAGTTTTCCTCACTTGCTGGTTCCCTTTTTTCTTCTGTACAGCTACAGATCCCTTTATGAACTATACAACACCACCTATTGTCATTGATGCAATGGTTTGGCTAGGTTACATGAATTCAACATTTAATCCAATTGTTTATGCATATTTTTACTTGTGGTTTCGAAGGGCCTTGAAAATGATTGTACTGGGGAAGGTTTTTCAGCAGAACTCATCCAGAATTAAGCTATTTTGGGAGTGAAACATTTTGAAAACTGAGACTTGCTTCAAATGAAATGAAAATGAAATACCAGCTTTAAAAACAATGAAAAAGAGAAGAAAATATTGTTTGCTGAGATTTTGGAGGTCTTATTCAGCAAATGAAACTTCTCTTGTTCCATATAAATTTAAATTAACCCATATAGTCACCCAAAGTGACTAGGATGTGTTTTTTTTAACCAGGTGACAATATAATATATTCATTTATAAAAACAGTGTGTCTATATTAGAAACTAAAATGGCATGTTGAAATGAACAAAAATGAAAACTCCCATCACTAGACCAAAGCACAATGTCTGCTTTGAACTGGGTTATCTAGGTTCACACTCAGATAATGTGGGATTTTCTGCCTTGATATTATGAGATATAGGGCTGCGTGAAAGGGCCCTTAGTCTTCATTACCTGAGGAAGACAGGGTTACAGCCAAAGAATCAGCTTGTTAATACAGCATATTTCCTAAAATACATAGTGCGCAGAGAGGTTCACAAAAACTAAATATAATAATCACCATAGTCAGAGATAATGAATTAACACCATAATTATTTATGCCACTTCTGCTAATTTTTCTTTCTAGAATGGTCTAGGCACCATGCATCTTGACCTCTGCTAGGAAAACGTGTTGAACTTTTAAGACATTTCAAGTTTTTTTTTAACAGACAACAAATGTAGAGTTTACAGTATTCAAGAACACAAGGTGAAGGTAAGATAACAAGGCAAAGCTAAGATAGGTGCAACCTAATTCAGAAATACTTTCTTCCTCTGCTCTCTTACTGGAAAAGTTTGTAGTTTGCCAAAGAGCCTCCTGTTTTCAAAATATATAGTCCCATAAGAGAGAATAAAGTTTTTATGAAGTCCTGTAGTATTTGCCATCATTAGGACCTAATCAGTTCTATGGTGTGGTTGTCCCTCATTATGACTATGGGATACAACGGATGTGTGTTAATAAGGCCCCTTGGTTGCTGTTTAAAGCCCCAACAGTATACTACAGTGGAAGCTATAATGATGAGAAAACTGGTTTGGGCTTTTGGCTGGTCCCACTAAGGGTAAAAGTTAACCTTTGAGAATGCAAACAGACATCCATTTAAAGCATCACTTGTCATATTAGGCTTGTTGTCATTTGCTATCCATACATCTAATTGCTCATTTTACTCAACAGCCTCTACATGCCAGCTGCTTTCTCCTTTTGTTTTTCAAACAGATCCTCATATGCTTAACTCTCCTGACAATATAAAAGTTGTATAGATTGATCGTTGGAAAATATGATTTTAGTAAACCACTGACAGTGATGTAGCTAACTAAAGACATGATTGAATACAGCCAACCTCTCAGATCTCTGAGGCCCCTTCTACACTGCCATAAAATCCAGATTATCAAAGCAGATAATCCGCATTATCATCTTTGAACTGGATTATATGAATCTACACTGACACATCATCCAGTCCAAATAGGAGAATTTAGATTTTTTACAGCAGTGTAGAAGGGAACTGATTCTTGCCATCTCCTCTTTCTGGCATTTCTGTTCTTCCTATGCCTGTCCCATTAGTGTGTGTGTGTGTGTGTGTGTGTGTGTGTGTGTAGCTGTTTCCTCATCTCTTAGAACCACAAATGAGATCACTGGTACCCATCTCAGTGGTAACTACTGGGATAATGTTCTTTCAGTTCATTACTATACAATTGATCAATATTCATAAAGACTTGAGCCTTTAAAATTTTGACTGTGAAAATAACCAGATTCATCCATTGACAGATTCATCCAGTGAGGCTAAGGGATCTGGGTGACTAACTCTTAAAAGAGGAAATTCCTGCATATTCAAACAAGGTAGTACTGGATTATAATTTCCATCTCTCTGTGTCTTTTTGTCTTAATGAAAGATTCTTGATCTTGACAACCTACATGGCCGGCAGGTACAGGTACAATCTAATTATACTAGGAATAGCCATACCTATTGAATTTAACTGGTGGAAATGGGGACAGATAGTTTACCAGTCTGTGGTCCCATGATCAGTCTTCCCTACATCCTTTGTGACCTTGCCTTCCTGCTCTATTTCATACCCAGCAAGTGATGCTGGTCATTTAATTTTTTTTTTTAGTACGATTGCAGTTTCATTATTTTAAAAATGAATTGCAAAGATATGTGTGTGCTTGTGTGTGCAAAATAATAACCATGGGAATAACAAGGGGAAGGAAAGACCAACTTACCCATTGATGTAATGTGATTCCTGGTATGTCAGCACAGAAGTGAAAGAGACCCATACATTAAGTCAGTGTTTCTCTACCTGGGTGTCAGGACTCTGGGGAGGGGGGAGGTGAGGGGGTGTCAGAGGGGTCGTCAAAGATAATCAGAAAACACAGTATTGTCGAAGGCTTTCATGGCCGGAATCACTGGGTGGTTGTAGGTTTTTCCAGGCTATATGGCCATGTTCAGGAGAAAAATTGCCTCCAGAACATGGCCATATAGCCCAGAAAAAACTACAACAACCCAGAAAACACAGTATTTTCTGTTGGTCATGGGGGTTCTGTGTGGGAATTTTGGTCCAATTCTATTATTGGTGGGGTTCAGAATGCTCTTTGATTGTAGGTGAACTATAAATCTCAGCAACTACAACAGCAAATGTCAAGGTCTATTTCCCCCCAAACACCACCAGTGTTCACATTTGGGCATATTGAGTATTTGTGCCAAGTTTGGTCCAGAACTATCATTGTTTGAGTCCAGAGTGCTTTCTGGATGTAGGTGAACTACAATTTGAAAGCTCAAGGTCAATGACCATCAAACCCTTCCAGTATTTTCTGTTGGTCATGGGACTTCTGTGTGCAAAGATTGGTTCAATTCCATTGCTGGTGGAGTTCAGAATGCTCTTTGATTGTAGGTTAACTATAAATCTCAGCAACTACAGCTCCCAAATAACAAATTCAATCCTTCCCAACCCCACCAGTATTCAAATTTTGACAAATATGAGTATTTCCAGCTAATGGAAATACATCCTGCATATCCGATATTATTTACATTACGATTCATAAGAGTAGCAAAATTACACTTGTGAAGTAGCAACGAAAATAATTTATGATTGGGGATCACCACAACATGAGGAGCAGATGAAGAATGAAGGATACAGAATTCCTCACATGCAGTTGCCACTGCAGAGTCTTCTGCCACCTGAGAGAGGGCCAAAGCCAAGCTCCCTTGACTTGTATGTGACCTTTGCTGCCCATACTGCTAAGATCCCCCACTTCTCTGATTGGCATGCAAGCCAGTCTCCTTCCTCCTTTCTGAATCCTGTGCCTCAGATGATGAAGAAGTACAAGAAAAAAATTGACTGAAAAAAATTGAACAAGGACTGTGGGAAGGAGAGTGGAAATAGAGCTCTGAGAGAGACAGAAGCTGGTATTTCTCACCACTCAATGACGTTGTTTGCCATTGGCTGGCTTTCCTACCCCTTTGCAAAGCATATGCAACTCACAGGTCTCTGAGAAAAAGCAAGAAAGCTCTGCCATCTTATACAGTGTCTACAATCTGCAGAAATGTCTAAGGTAAGCTATGAAGCATTATTTCCTCTTCTGTTGTTAACTAGAGAAAAATTATCCTTATTTCTTTATTTATTGCATTTTATGCCATATTTCTCCCATTGTTAAATACAAAGTCTCAAAAACCATTACATAAAACATTATAATAACATTAACACAATTAAATGCATACAATATTAAAACTGTAAACTGAAGAATGGCCAGAATAATAATCATGCCCTATGCTCTAGTCAGCAAGTTACCCTGAGCCAGGCAACTGGAGTGCAAGACCTTCCAAGTAGTAAATCACAGGTTACTGAACAAGATGAAGGGTGAAGCAAGAGAGTGTCTAGTCCATTGCTCATTATAACAAGTTAGTAGTTCACATAAGCCAGTAAAAGGTAAAACAAGGTCAGGAAAAATATGAAGGCAGAATATTAATACCAATCACCAGGAAATTTTATGGTATGCTTTCACTGAAAGTTGACCATAGGATCACACTGGATGACCATAGAATCATAAGATCATAGAATCATAGAGTTGGAAGAGACCTTGTGAGCCATCCAGTTCAACCCCCTGCCAAGAAGCAGGAAAATCACATTCAAAGCACTCCCGACAGATGGCCATCCAGCCTCTGCTTAAAAGCCTCCAAAGAAGCAGCCTTCACCACACTCTATGTCAGAGAGTCCCATGTGGTATGCTTGAGCTGTAAGTAGTTTGTTTCAGTAAGGTTCACTTTTACCTGTAATTCACATATCTACACAAAAATCTGGAATGTATCCCTTATGATATGGGGGTCCTATATGCTAAATACTAGTCTAATCTTCCTTTTCTTGACATTTCTTCTTATTTCCAGTAGAAATTTTAGAAATATATTTCACATCCAGATTGGCAACACTACATTTCCCACTGGTATTAATAAGAGGTTTCCCTCATAGTTAGTAAAATCTGGGAGTTAATCAGAATAGAAATGCAAGAGGGAAGGTGAAACTAACCTGTATTCTCAATCCTAGATGTTCCTCCTTTAAGGTGAATACTTATTTTGAATTACCATATTAATAGGTTGTACGCAACCTGAAGAGCATCAAAATATCTTAACAGTATGACCTCCATAGCAAGGGATATGTTCCAAGAACCTGATTGATGGATACCCAAAAGTGTGGATTATCTTGAACCCTTTATTTTAAGTACTTACACCAGAAACAAAGTAAAGTAAAAAAAAATTAAAACCTGGCTTTGTGACCAAGCGTTTGGAGAACTTGAGAAATAGAAAGATATGGAATTGATGTGCACTGACTAACTGGAACGGCCAGACTATGTTTTAACTCTTAATGTATTGTTTTATATGTTTTAAACTGTTTTAATGTATTTTATAACTCTATTTATATATATTTGTAACTGTATATATCCTACAGCTTCATATGGTTGCCTACTTGTAAGCTGCCTTGAGTCCCCTCCGGGATAGAGAAAGGGAGGGTAGAAATGCTCTAAATAAATTAATTATAAATAAACATACTATAGACTAATACTTAAGGACGTAGAGCAGGGATCCTCAAACTTTTCAAGCAGAGGGCCAGGTCACAGTTCCTCAAACTGTTGGAGGGCCGGATTACAATTTGAAAAAAGCATGAATGAATTCCTATGCACACTGCACATATCTTATTTGTAGTGCAAAAAAACCACTGTAAAACCACACAATAATTAAAATGAAGAATATTTTTTAACAAATATAAACTTATTAGTATTTCAATGGGAAGTGTGGGTCTGCTTTTGGCTGATGAGATAGGATTGTTGTTGTGTGCTTTCAAGTCATTTCAGACTTAGGTTGACCCTGGGCGAGGCCCGGGTAAATGACCTTGGAGGGCCCTATCTGGCCCTCGGGCCTTAGTTTGATGATCCCTGACTTAGAGAATCTCACAAACAATTCTGTTGTTTTTATGAGTGTGTATAAGTGATACCATGGATGGGGGGGGGGGTCGTACTGCAATATATTTAATATGATCATATAATAAAGTCATTTTTAATTGAAAATCACATTATGTTCTAAAGACTTCACCTTCTATTTGGTCGTAAATTTTGCCACCTGCTCTCCTACACTGTTGATAACAACAGTGATTTCAGGAAGACACAACCTTTCCCAGAACTTTGCCCTTGTCTCTCACTTGTACTTACCTGCTCCCTCCTCCTTCCCTCAAACTGAAAATTGTGTTATTCTTGAAATTATCTTGGGATCTGACTGCTATCTCATAAAACCACAACATCATTATAATAACCTTGTTCATTTCACAAGAGAGGAGTAGCAAGAATTGGATATTCCTGACATCTTATTTCACACCAATATGTAAATGGATTTCTGAAAATAGCTTTCCAGGTAGGAGAAGTAAGAAAGGTGAAAGTACAATTTATGAAATATTATTTTTGCTTCTAGGGCAAAATTTCTTTTCTAGATTTCCGTGAACCTTTCTAAAACAATATTTGATGGTCTGTCAAATATAGAAGTACTTGTTTTGCTCAAGTTCCAAATTGTTTGAAATGAGGTTCACAGAGGAAAATGTAATGGTAATTTCTAATCATATTAATATATTTCATCTTGTAGTAGAAATATAACCCTCTCTCCTTTTCAGTTCATGTAATAATCTCCGACCATGGCTGGAGGGAAGAAAAGCTACATTTCGCTGATTTCCAGCTGCTTGAGCCAACTTTAACAGAAGAATGTGCAACTGGTTGGACTTAACTGAAATGTTGTTTCTCTCTTGTCCTTTAAGTGTAAAACACGGTATCTCAATAGGAGATGTAGAATGAATTCAGCTGGTATCACCATATAAAGTTGAGCTTATAGGAGTCTGAAGAAGCTTGAGGTTATCATGCAACTGATTCTTTGCAGATTGTGAGATTTGTCCCCAATGTAGATGATAAGACAAATGTAATCATAAACAAATGTTCTATAACTGTTGACTACTGATGCCTTAAGATGTTTGACAAAGGTTCTGTTGGATGCCATAAATATTATTAAAAAATATTTATGCTCCTTACACTGACCTGAATCCCATTCTAAATGCATCAGACCATAGAATCAATTAGAACGTGATACATCAATGCAAGATCCAATTATTCATTACATCTACTGTAATTATTATTACAGTTGGATCTTTCTAAAGATTCTCCCTCCATCATGCATTGAATAGGTAGAAAATCAGGGGGCATCTCATCCAAAATGGCAAGGTGAGGCTCCTGTTTGGACCATGAACTTCTTTCTGATGCTATGAAGTCATGTTCATCCTTTGCTGGAGTATACAGTCTTTCGCATGTTCATTTGATAAGTAACCCTATTTCCTTCTGAACTGTCAACACTGGATTGTCTCAGAAAGTGACTTTGCCTTTATGCCATTTCCACTTCTACAAATCAGGGTATGTAATTTCTCTTTCTCTCTCCACCACACCCAACCCCTGTTTTCATTATGAATTTCCTGCAGAAGACTGTAAGGCCTTCCAAAACACAATGAGACACAGCTTGGGGGGAGGGGGGAGGTGTTCAGCAGGGTGGGAGGGGGGCTCATGAAAATCAGTGGTTTCATCCTATAAATAGTAATAAAATAGTTTCTTTCTATATAGGTATAAACTGGTGTCCTGGTCAGTGGCCTAGCCACTGCATCTGGTTCCCTCCCTTGAGGTGAGCTATCTTCATTTAAGTGATAGCACTATAAATCTAACATAAATAAAACAGAAAACTAAGAGGTTTTTAAAAATAACTCCAACGTTGGTCCTTAATTCTTGTTATCATATGTTACATCTCTTCTGCTCTCATGATGCTGGAAGTTATTCATATTTGTTAAATATGGTAACTTAGCCTTATCGGAACATTAGTTTAAGTGGCTTATTCAGGAAGACGAAGAGCATCAGATTTAATTGCTTTCAAAGTCAATCCCATCAGCTGCTACATAAATAAAGAGCAGGTCAAAATTGGGTGAAATCATGGCAAATTTGCCTCATGACCTGGTTTGGAAGGATGTTTCAAGCAATCCCAGGCACATTGATACTGCGGAATATGTTTATATTTGAAAGAAAAAGAAAGAAAGAAAAGATCAGAAAGAAAATTGAAGGAATATGATACAAAGCAATTGTACAATGTCTTTTGTCTAGTAACAGATAGATAGTCTAAAACAGGGGTCCTCGAGCTTTTTAATCAGAGGGCCAGGTCACTGTTGGAGGGCCGGATTGTAATCTGAAAAAAACAAACAAAACATTAATGAATTCCTATGCACACTACACATATCTTATTTGTAGTGCAAAAAGCACTAAAACAATACAATAATTAAAATGAAGAACAATTTTAACAAATATAAACTTATTAGCGTTTCAATGGGAAGTGTGGGCCTGCTTTTTGTTGATGAGATAGGATTGTTGTTGTTGTGTGCTTTCAAGTCATTTCAGACTTAGGTTGACCCTGAGCAAGGGCTGGGTAAATGACCTTGGAGGGCCGTATCCAGTCCCCAGGACTTAGTTTGAGGACCCCTGGTCTAAAACAATGTTTTCCTCTGCAAAATGGAATAAAGCCTTGAATTTTACATAATCTTTATATTGACCTTTATAAATTCTGTTCTATATCCTACTTTGAAATAAGCATAACTTTTCTACAGGGGCTTTATTACAAGTATTCTTCAGAAAAATAATTTTGACCTCTGTTTTAAAGTTTCTTTTGAAAATTCCAATGAGAATTCTGAGAATTACAGCCTTGCAGTTAACTGAGAATTTCTGCACTCACTAGCTTCTGCAACCAATGCTAACTGCTCTTCCTTTCAGATTAAAAAAATATGCCTTTTCTCAACTCTTCAGAAGATGTCATTGATTGTTCTGAATTTGGAAATGGATCCTGTCCTGAGAATCTCAAGCCAGCGGGCATTCGGGGAGCCATGTATATAACAATAAGTGGAGTCATCATTGTCACAGTCCTTGGGAACTTGGCAATCATAATAGCAATTTCTTACTTCAGACAGCTGCATTCCCCAGCTAATTTCCTCATCCTCTCCATGGCAGTGACTGACTTCCTTCTTGGCTTCTTCATTATGCCCTATAGCATGGTTAGATCTGTGGAAAACTGCTGGTATTTTGGGATGACCTTTTGCAAAATCCACTACAGCTTTGACCTGATGCTCTGTTTGGCTTCTGTCTTCCACCTTTGCTGCATTGCTGTTGATCGTTTCTATGCCATTTGTTACCCTCTTCATTACTCATGCAAAATTACTATCCCAGTGATCAGGCAATTGATTGTCTTTTGTTGGTCAGTGCCAGCTTCTTTTGCTTTTGGTGTGGTTTTCTCCGAAGTGTATGCTTCTGGCATCAAGAGTTATGAGATCTTAGTTGCATGCTCCAGTTCTTGTCCAATTATTTTCAATAAACTATGGGGAACTATTCTGTTCTTATTTGGTTTGTTCATTCCTGGCTCTGTGATGATCGGAATTTATGCAAAAATATTCAAGGTGTCCAAAAAACACTCAAGGCTCATCAGAAGCAAGCCTGAAAGTTCAGAAGATGAAAAACACAAGAAGATTTCCAGAAATAAAGACATCAAAGCTGCCAAAACCTTGAGCATTGTGATGGGAGTTTTCCTCTTTTGTTGGTGCCCCTGTTTTGTCACAATTTTAATTGATCCTTTTATAGATTTTTCAACACCTGCTGTGTTATTTGATGCTTTAAATTGGTTTGGCTACTTCAACTCCACTTGTAACCCATTAATATATGGATTTTTTTACCCATGGTTTCAGAAAGCACTCAGATACATTATTTCAGGAAAGATATTTCAACCACATTTCTATACAGCTAATCTGTTCCATGAGCATCGTTAATATGATATCTATGAGTCTTTCAGCATGAAGCATGAGTAGTTGGATAGTTCTCCAAAAAATGTCTGGGAGGCATTTTTGCAAATGCTGCTTCTCATCAAAGGGCAAACTAGAAGCCAGTATGGTAGATTTGTGACAAAAGGTACAAATGCATTGCCCACTGTGACATAAGATATGCAGAAAACAAAGTTAGCCCCTTGTGCTTTTCCACTTTTATTTCTAGCAAAGAATACCTCTCTATTTCTGATTCATGATTGGGATAACTTGATTCTGTTGTTTTCATAGAATTAAAAACACATTCCTTAAGGAGGTGGGAAAGAAAGTGAAGTGAAATGCTCTCTCTAGCTTCCCTGAACACATCAACAAAAGTTTCCAGAAAGTTAGTCATATTATTTGTTTTTATTGTTTTTATGAATTGCAATGTTGTTTTGGGGTATTTGCAGACTTTGTTTTATAGAATGTGTTTTATATTCATTTTTTCCAATAAAAGTTGATAGAAACCTCCGAAGGCTTTGTGGCATCTTAAAGACCAACATGTTTAATATGGCACAACCATTTGTGGACTGTAGCCCACTTCTTCAGTTTTGTGACAATGTCTTTTATTGTTGCAAAATTACCAGTATTGTTCTTGCATCAACAGGTTACTGGCCATCTACCATCTATTGTCAGGTTTACCTGTTTATACTTGTCCATATAGCTGCTAATATCTGAAAATAAAGAGCTTAGAGGTTGAAGATTACTGACTATTCAAGGTTGTTCAGGCAAATCATAAAACTGTAATGGTATCTCCTCTGCTGAAAAAAATAGCGGCCAGACAATTCTATAGGCTTTTAGTAAACACCCAGATTTAAAGGTGCAGATTAGCTTAAGAATTCAAATATGCACAATGCACAAGATTCCATTTCTATAAATCATCTCCCCATACAGCAGACCTTAATTGCAACCCCACTCGATGGACTGTCACTTTGCAACATTGTAGCCAAACTGAAACACTTGTTCTTCTCAAGTTAAAGTAAGGATAGACTGGGGGCTTTTTACCCTCTGCCAGATGAATAGAATACCCTGCTTACAACAATGACAAAGAAAATTACAAGCCAAAAAGAGAGAGATTCTTTCTTTGCCAATACCGGCACTTTTAGATTACAGCTCCTAACATTCCCTAGCTATTATGTCCAGGGCTACGTGGGCTGAGAGATTCTTGCAGTTGAAGTCTGGAAACAATTTTTCCCAGCTCAGCATAGAATTTGAGACCTGGAATACCGTGTTCAATTCTGTGCGCCACAATTTAACGGAGATGCTGACAAGCTAGCATGTGTCCAGAAAAGGGTGACTAAAATGATCAAGGGTCTGGAGAACAAGCCCTATGAGGAGCGGTTTAAAGAGCTGGGCATGTTTAGCTTGCAGAAGAGAAGGCTGAGAGGAGACATGATGGCCATGTATAAATATGTGAAGTCATACGGTGGAGGGAGCAAGCTTGTTTTCTGCTGCCCTGGAGACTAGGATGCAGAACAATGGCTTCAAACTACAGGAAAGGAGATTCCACCTGAACATTAGGAAGAATTCCTGACTGTGAGATCTGTTCAGCAGTGGAACTCTCTGCCCCGGAGTGTGGTGGAGGCTCCTTCATTGGAGGCTTTTAACCAGAGGCTGGATGGCCATCTGTCAGGGGTGCTCTGAATGCAATTTTCCTGCTTCTTGGCAAGGGGTTGGACTGGATGGCTCACGAGGTCTCATCCAACACTATGATTCTATGTTTACGAAAGAAATATTTATATAACTTTGAAATTATCAAGAATTGTTCACTCTTCTCATCTACTACATTTAACTAGTTTTGCCTGCTGTTTTCAGTTGTATTTATCAGTAGATCCATTTAACATCTACACTCTCATCTTTCTTCTTTCCTAGAAATGAACACATTTGCTATGATGGAAACTAAATCAGGAACTTTCTGCCCTTCAATGCACTTAACAGTAGAAGTAAAACATTTTCTCCTTTGCTTAAAATAAACTTGTGGTTTATACATTATACATACAAATAAATATAACAACCGGGCTCATACAGGAGCCCTGGGAAATAACCACTGCGGTAATTGTCCAGATTTGACAGTTCCCTAATGAGCCACATTTTTCACCAGATGTAAACAGCTCGGACGAAATTGCTAAGGAAGTAAGTGGGCCCAAGGGCCAGCACAGTTTACATACCACTTATGAAAACTATATATGATTAGTTTTGAAAATACAAATAGATAGTCATACTGATAATTAAATAAATGCCAAAAACCATGTGATGCCTTTTTTGAGTAATGAAAAAAGGGACAAAATCCATTATGCTTACTGTCTGCTTCAACCTGCAAAGATAATTTTTAATAATAATAAATCATAATAAAACTTTATTTACAACCCACCCTGTCTTCCCAAGGGGACTCAGGGTGGTTTCCAGAAATAACAAAATAGCAAACATTCAAAAACCAAATAGACAATCAAAGCAAAAGCATAAAATAAACTAAATATAACTTATAAACAATCAAAACAAGGGTTAAACTAAATAAACATAATAGACACAAAAAGTCAAACCAATTAATAAACAATACATTAAAAGCACAATATAATATAACATAGCATATCAGCAAGCTGAAGTAAATATCTGTTGTCAGGGTGGGAGTGTGTATCAGATATGTTAATCCTCCTCCTCTCCTTAAACTAGATTACACAAATGGGTCTTTAATAATAAAACTTTATTAAAGTTTAAAGTATTATACAGAACTCTTCTATTAAAAAAAAAACTTTTACAGGGCAAGAGGCTGGTTCATGCTAACCAATGGCACCACAACACAAACTACCACATAGGTTACTGGTGGGTAAAGTTAATAATGTTTTTTGGTAACAGTTATACAGTTTGGCACGAGGCAATTATCTAGTCTTCAGTACCGAATGATCCAAAGCATTCACTATTTACAGGATTACCCACCCAAAGCAGGAATCAGCAAAGGGTACAGCTACTGAGAAGCTACATAGGCACACAACCACTGTGTGACTCTCCACCATCTGAAGGTGAAGCATGGGTGTTAAAAGTAACCTTCTCCCCTTGTAATCCCAAAATGGGACATACTGAACAGAGGGATGCTGGATTACCTGGTTCAACTGCAGTGGCACCTGAATCTTGTCCCATACCACACCACCACAGTTTAAGGTCACAACATTTGCTGGCCACAGCTATATAGTTTAGAATGAAGCTAAGATCCAGTGTTCAGTATCTAATGACCCAAAGCATTCATTATTTATAGCTAGTGAAAGCTACTTGAGTGCACAGTCACGGTGTGCTTCTAATAGAATGCTTTCTTATATACTACTTTGGTGAACCTGGGAAAACTCAATCTCTCCAGGTGAAAGGGGAGATCTGGTGCCTGATCTTGGCTTCTCCTTCCCAGGAGCACAAATGCTGCAACAGGTCCCCTCAAAAATGCGGCCATGCTGTTCTGAGAAGATGGTAGCAGACTGCTGCCCATACCATGACCATAACCAGAAAATTTGCCCCAGCTAAGTTTAAGATATTATTTTCTTAAAATCTCTAGAAACTCAGAAAAAAGACAGATGGCATGGGGCCATAGCAACACCTCTTCAGCCCTGCTGCCTTACAATTCCTGTGCGGGGTGCCTCAATGGCCACACAGCCTTGTGGTGAGAGTACTTCAACGGCCTACTTGCCCAGCCATAGCAACACTTATTGAATGACTCCTTGTGTCTTAATTGTATTACATCAAGACCAGAATTAAGTCCACAAAAAAAAGCACACAAATCTGAAACATTTATATCTTGTAAGCCGCTGTAAGTCTCCTTCGGGGTGAGAAGGGTGACATATAAATGTAGCAAATAAATAAATAATAAATAAATAATTATAACTACCAACAACTAGCTGTGGGACCTACTGGCTCTATAGTCCAAACTCTCTTGTGGGATGGGATTCTCTGCAACAGGGTTATTCCCCTATTGGCTTGTTACCTGGGATTTTCTCACAATTTCTTTTACCAATATCCCCCAAAAAGCACTCCTTTAGTTTTAGCCTAACCCAAAACAGCAGAATGGCTGAGCCAGGGTTTAGCATGATGAGGATAAACCTTTCAAGCAAAACCTCATGTAATTTTATTTGGCCGAGGAGGAGATTATTGGGCTCTATTTTTCCCTGATTCCTAGCTTGTTATTATGTGCAAACCAGGAATAATGATTTAAGACAATTTCTAATGCAATATAAATCATTTTTCTTTTTTGCTAAAAGGCAAAGATGTGCCAGCTGATGAGGACGGACTATGCTAACTGACAGAGGTGGCCCTAGGTAATTTTCAACGGTAAGCAAACAGTATTTTGGCACACCCCCCGCCCAACCAATCACTGATATATATTTTCTGTTCATCATGGGAGTTCTGTGTGCCATATTTGGTTCAATTCCATCATTGTGGAGTTCAGAATGCTCTTTGATTGTAGGTGAACTATACATCCCAGTAACTACAACTTGCCTATGTCAAGGTCTATTTTCCCCCAAGAGTGCCTCAAGAGCACCCCTGGGCAAAATCAACTATACTGCAAATGCTTACTTTGCATACTGGGTTGAGCCGCCTCTGCTAACTGATGACGAATGGGCATTAAACCGTGGAGTGTTCTCTTTTCTTCTTGTCTCTTACAGCATGAATTTTAAGGGTTTTCTCTAGTATTACTTTTTTAAATAAAATATCTAATAACATATTTTAATATAATATATTGTGGTTTTAGTTGTAAATGTTTTTTTTTAAAATGCACCTTGTGAGCAATTTTGGCATTCCCCAGTATTAGGGTTCTAAAAAGAACTCATCCAAGTTGCTTCTTCTAAGATCTAATGGCAGCAACTAGCCATTCTTCAACACTACAGAGAGCATGATCCTTGAAGATACTGCACCAATTACTATTTATTTTCTGTTGATCATATTTCTACATGCTTGTTTTAGCTATAAATATTAATTCTATATGCACAACTATGAGAATATGTGGGTAAAAATAACATTTCTGATTGTACAAACTGTAAAATTCTACATGTGTGTAACAGTTACATTTAACACATTCAAACTAGTCTATGCAGATACAGTTCAGAAACAGTTGAAGTTGGAGACAGGTTTAGGATCACTGCTGGAAGGAGATAAAAACAGGCTGTTTCCTTGCCAACTACTGAATATTCTTTCTGAATTTCTCACCCCATTGTCACTATTATGTGATGGGGATGGAAATTGAGGGATAGAGGTGTTTGGGGGGAGAAAGACCCCACAGCTATCCATTTGTGGTGATCCTGATCCAGACACTTCTAAGTACATGAAAAAAAGGATCAGAATGCTAGAAAATCAATAGAACAAGTAGTCTGACCTTTGGTTCCCCTTTGCATAGTAATCATAGAATTAGAAGGAACTACCAGGGCCATCTAATTCAACCTCATGTGCAAAAGTACACAATTCTCAAAAGATTTCTATTCAACCTCTGTTTAAAGATTATCAGAAATGGAGGGCCTACCACTTTCTGAAGTCATCTGGTCAACTGTCAAACAGCTCTTAAACTAAAAAAAGATCTTCCTAATGTTTAGGTGGAATCTCTTCCTAATTTGAATCCATTGCTTCATGTTCTAATCTCTAGAGCAGCAGAAAACAAGCTTGATTCATCTTCTAAATGACTTCCCTTCAGGTTCTCAAATATCTCTACCATATCGCTTTTCATTCTTCTCTTTCTCTTAGTATCTGGGTCTTTTTACTACCCCAAGCATCCTTCCTGAATATATTCCAGTTTGTTAATATTCTTCTCAAATTACCTTTGATCATGATCTATGCACTAGCTAAACAAATCACAACACAAGCAGTAGTCATTTCCTGCATGCCTAATATAGTTCTTGCAACAATATAAGTGATTCTTTGGGGGAAAGGAAGGGAATGGAATCTACTGGCACCTTTAGTTACCTGACATGAGTGTTTGTGGATTGAATTCTACTTCTTAAGATGCACTGATGATTCAGATGCAAAATACGGTAAACCTTGAATGGCGCTCCATGCAGTCATGCCGGCCACATGACTTTGGCGGTGTCTACGGACAACGCTGGCTCTTCAGCTTAGAAATTGAGATGGGCACCAACCCCCAGAGTCAAATACAACTAGACTTAATGTCAAATACAACTAGACTTTACCTTTTTTATAAGACTGGACTTAAAGTCAGGGGAAAACCTTTACTAACTTTGAATTCTGCATAAGGAGAAAGTCAGAATATAAATCAAATAAACAGAGTTGCCAGTGGATTACTCTCTTCCCATTCTATCATTATACTGAAAAAGACTCATATGACTATCACTATATGGAAATACCACATTCATGCTTGTGGTTATGGGGTCTCCCCAAGTATTGTATATGTTGTTTGAATGCAATAAAAATGACCATGTTGAAGAAACAAACTTTTAATACAATAATTTTAGTCCATTTGAGATTTTATATCTTCTGCTCCATGAACTAATTGTTGTACTACTAGCTATGGGACTGTTGCAAACTGCTTTTCCCTTTGTAGCCTTGGTCCACATACATGTGAAAATAAATATTTACTGCAAAGGAAGCAAGGACATTATCTGAGTAACTTATTTCTCTCAAAGTAAATACATGCCATAATGAAAACATGTTGGCCATAAATGGCCTAGTTTTCTTGCCTAAGAGTCCTGTCTTTTGAGCATCAAGTAATCTGATGTAATTGCTAACAGATTTTATAAACTATTTTCCATTCTGTTTAAACATTTTTAGTCCCTCCCAAATAGAGCATGGGAAAATAGAGCATGGGAAAAGCCTCTAACAACTCATAGTGGGGAGAAATGAAAATGACAGAAGACAAGGGCAATTTAATATAAGTTTATACTTAAAATCTGTAGCCCAAGGTGTATCTATCACTGCATGAATCCACTCAGAGAAGAAATGCCTAAGCAACATATATCTTTATTGGAGAGCAAGTCCCTGAATCTTCAGCAAGACATTTGATGAGGCATACATAGGATTGCACTGTCAGCTAACAAAGATGAAATGTTAAGTTAAATAATGAGCATGCATATCTATGTGGAAAGGCTGTTGAAAAGAAGCAGCAGTGCTGCAGAACATGCATGTATACTGTTGACCAAGGCTTCAAATAGGCTATTCCTTAGAGAGGAATATTATAGAAAGGACTGTTGATCTAACTAGATTATATAAAGCACTGAGTGATTTCATACTTCCCGGATTCAGAACAAAGACAAGACTTTGAAAGGTAACACCACAAAAACAGCAGGTAAGTAACTTTTAAAAATAGATAGGTGATAGAGATAGATAGATAGATAGATAGATAGATAGATAGATAGATAGATAGATAGATAGATAGATAGATGATAGATAGATACAGACCGACCAACCGGTAGCTAGATTAATGATAGATAGACTTCTTTAATGTGTGTTGGCCTTATGATTTTTCTTCGTCTATAGACAGATTTAACAGGTTCCTCAAATCTCCTCAAATAATAGTTAAATGACAGAGACTTAAAACACCATCCCTATGACACCAGTCTTGGATTATTCATCAGTATAAATGCTACTCATCTTATTGTACCGATTTTCCTCAAAGTTTCGTTGTTTTGTAAAAGACACATTTACTCTTTAAATAGTTATCACAGAATAGTAATTCAAGAACTTTTAAAAATCAAATTCCCAATTTTAGCAGAATGATTCCAAGTCCTCTAAGATAATATTTTGCAGTGACTGGAAACAAACAATGACTTTAAAAAAACTGTACATTTGTTCTCAATAATCACAAGGAATGTTTTTTCCACCCATAATTTACACATTTTTGTAGTTTTGAACAAAGAATGCTTTTATTCTGTCATTCGTATGAATAAGCATTCTAAACTTTTGCATTAAAGAGTTAACAAAAGATAAATATACTGTATATGAAGCCAGGCTTTGTTAAGCAACATTTAACAAAATGCAATCATATACGCTGTACAATAGGTTTATGCAAATATTTTCCAAACACACATTAAATTAGTCTTTGATGAGAAAAAGATATTACAAAATGCCATGTCATTCATCTAAAAATTTTTTTAAAACTACATTAATAGAAATATAAACCTACCCAGAGCCCCTGAAGTCCATTTCTAAGACCATCTACCATCAGAATCAGAAATTTTGAAAGCATACCCATAGGCACAACTTCAGGCTTTAGCAATGATGGATATTGAACTAACAGTAGTAGCTATAAATGAATGAAGAGTAAAAACTTTGTGTACAAGGTGAATAGAGTTAGATAGGTCTGGATCAGGTTGGGTGAGAACACATTTCAAATTTAATGCATTATGTGGCAGTAGACATCGTTCAAGCAAATACAGACAGGCTCCCTTATGATTCTTTTCACAGGACTCACACTCCATTTCATCATTATATGTGCATTTTTTAAGATATTGCTAGAAAAGGAAGGTAGAAACGAAGAGCGGTAACTGGTCACAAAGCATGAGCCCTGTTGCAGAAGTCCCAGCATTGGATTTACTGTGCTTTAAGATGAATGGTTCCTGCTACAGAACCCTACATCCCTTTGGAGTCCAGTTAGCCATCTACTTCGTCTGCACTCTTGGTATGCTTCTGATGGTCCTGGGAAACCTGCTGGTGGTAATTTCTATCTTCCACTTCAAAGTACTTCACACTCCAACCAATTTCTTGCTGCTCTCCCTAGCCTTGGCAGATCTCCTCCTGGGCTTAACAGTCCTTCCTTTTAGCGCAATCCGCTCTGTGGAAAGCTGCTGGTACTTCGGTGATGACTTTTGCCGGCTCCATACTTTTCTGGACACTTTGTTTTGCTTGATTTCCATATTCCATCTCTGTTTTATATCTATTGACCGTCACTATGCCATCTGTGACCCATTGCTCTATCCCACCAAGTTCACCATAAGGGTTGCCTGCACTTACATTGCAGTGGGGTGGGGGGTACCTGTGGTTTATACCTCCATCTTCCTTTATAGCAAAATGGTTGAGGAGGGTTTAGGTCATTTCTTGCAGGACATGCCTTGCATTGGGAGCTGTCAGCTGCTCTTCAACAAACTCTGGGGTTGGATAAACTTCCCAGTTTTCTTCCTCCCCTGTCTCATAATGATAGGCTTGTATGTGAAAATATTCATTGTGGCAACCAAACAAGCCAAACAGATAACCAGCATGACTAGGAACAACGGTAATCCACAGCATGAGATGGGAGCCATGAAAAGAGAAAAGAAGGCAGCGAAGACTCTGGGGATTGCTGTAGGAATCTACCTCCTGTGCTGGTTGCCCTTTACCATAGACACCATAGTAGACAGCTTGTTGGATTTCATTACCCCACCTGTAGTGTTTGATGTTCTTATTTGGTTTGCTTACTTTAATTCTGCATGCAACCCCTTGATTTATGTGTTTTCATATCATTGGTTCAGGAAAGCTATAAAGCTTGTCCTAACTCGTCAGATCTTCAGCACACGAACATGTACAATAGACCTTTATCAAGAGGAATAATCCAACAGTGATAGTGAATGATAGTGCAAGGAGAGCTGCCCTAAGATATTTCACTGCCTGGAGTGAGAAAATAAATGGCACACCTATATGTAGAGATGCACATGCTTGAAGCCAAGGTTTATAGTAGTTATAGTTGGTCATTTTGGCATCTCTTCCCCTTCTTGGCAATAAAATAATAATACATTTAAGAACTGCCAACTTGCTGCCCTTTTATGACACCCAAATAAGCCATTTGAGTTAAAAACATCTGTGCTGAAAGAAAGGCTGATCCTGGATATCAAAGAAAAGAAGTTGCAAAGAATTCAATTGACTATCTATACTCATCAATTTCTGCGGCATGTGTGTTTTGCCATAATACAGTCAAAGTTCCTGTTGTTCTGGATAACTATGTTGGTATTAATGCTAATACAGTGACCGGAATTATATAAAAAAGAGTAACCTATATTAATCCAGTGAGAAAGCTGCTGAGTCATAGAAACATCTGTGCACATTACAGCCCACAAAGAAAGAGAGCCATTGTGGGGCAGTGGTTTCAGCATTGGACTATGACTTTGGACATCAGGTTTGAATTGATCGGCTGTGGAAACTCACTGGGTGATCTTGGCCAAAACAAAGTCAAATCCCCTCTGAACAAATCTTGCCAAGAAAGATCCTCATGGTAGGCTCACTTAGGGCCATCATAAATCAGAACTGGTTTGAAGGCACACCACAACAAAAAAAGCAAAAAATTGCATTGGAAAATTAAGAACATTGGAAAATTGCCTGTTCCTGTCTGCTTTCTCTCTAAACCATGAGACAGACTGGACACCAGTGTGCAACCCTGAAAAAAGTGCACTGTGTCATCTAAGCAGTATAGTCCACCAACAGGATTACAGACACAGTGCATGTAAAATATGGAATATCCAAGGAAAAGGACTTCCTCTCTGTGAATACAGTAATTACTGTATTTATCATTCTTGTCACTGTCACTTAGGTGGGGAATGCATTTCAGTAATGAGCGGAAAGGCTGTCAAATCAAAAGTGAAATACTTTCTCCAGACAGAAGAACAGTGCAAATTATTTGAACTTCATTCCAAATATTCAAGATAGCAAAGAACCAGCCGATCCGACACTAGGCTAGTTGAAACTGTGATGAATCCAAATAACTCTCAGCCAGAAAATAGATTTGCCCTGGCCTATCCATGGGTTAGCACTGTACCAGTGTCCCTGAGTTAGAACAAGTTTGGCTCCAATGTAACCCAACTCCTCTTTCAACCCAACACTTCCTTTCTATCTGTCCTAATAGCAGATCATAGTCACATGGCCATTCTGTAGACACATTCTTTTGCTGGTAGACCTCAGTGTAACTGGAAGAAGTGGATTTCTACTGGCAGAAAAGGTTTGTGCCCTTTCTAACAACCAGTCCATCTTCAGATTGGGATTGAATTGTTGGACTAACAAAAGAAAAATTAGCATCTTATTTGCTTTCTGCATCCTTTCCTTCTTTATTGTACACAGTGAAACTGCAAATGCTTAGAGTAGAGGAGCTTCTTGTCTTGCGTGTTCTGAGATAGCCTTGCATTGGGTTTAAATTGACATTTGGCTCCCACATGTGGCTGATTCATGTTCTGCAAACATTATCAGCAAGTTGATTGCACCTTGCTTTTTAAGACCCACTCTAGTGCTCATAATTACAGCCATACTTCAGCTAACAAAATAGATATGTTGCCAGCAATTACTTTGGTGAAAGAAGCAATAACATGCAAAAAAATAGGGATAGGTACTGCAGCAAAAGAAAAAGAAGAGAGAGAGAGAACAGTTCAGCATATTTCATAAAACTTTTTATTGATGACTAGCAATATACACACACAAAGGCGGCCCTAGGTAATTTTCAATGGTAAACAAACAGTATTTTGGTGCCCCCTCCCCCCCAACAAATCACTGATATATATTTTCTGTTCGTCGTGGGAGTTCTGTGTGCCATATTTGGTTCAATTCCATCATTGGTGGAGTTCAGAATGCTCTTTGATTGTAGGTGAACTATACATCCCAGTAACTACAACTCGCATATGTCAAGGTCTATTTTCCCCCAAGAGCGCCTCAAGAGCACCCCTGGGCAAAATCAACTATACTGCAAATGCTTACTTTGCGTAATGGGTTGAGCCACCCCTGACCTTACCCTAAACCTAAGCCTAATTCTAACCCAAACCCTAAACCTTACCCTAAACTTAATCCTAACCCTCCCCTCCTTTCTATCCTTCCACCAAATTAAAGTAATGGGTTGAGCCGCCCCTGTACACACATGAAATGAAGGGTGGGGGGAATAGGCCAGTCAAACCTTTCACAAGGAAGAAAATAGGTGCTGGTGTAATGTGCTACATTTTGATTTGATGTCTTTTAATACTTTGTGTTTTTTATTTTAAATTTTTTGATTGCTTAATTTTTTTTAAAAAAAATGTATGCTGGGAATAGTTAACTATGTTTTAAAACTGTTTTAAGCTGTCTCAGATATCAAATTGTAATAATAATTTCCACTTACATGGGCATTATAATTATTTTATTTACATTTACAGTTGGCAAGATCTTTAAAACTCCAGATTATTTTAATCAGGATGTAGAATTCGCTGTTATAGATTTAAGTCTAATATTCTAATAAATTCTTTTTTATTTTTTTAATACTTGAAACTTAATGTTCTATATTTATAAAGTATGTCAGGATTCTCATTGTTATTTACTGTATTGTAGATAAAAAAAAGAACAGATCGGTTTTCTATTTACAATTTCACATTTCCTCTCTATCCTCTTGCTCATACTCTAGTTCTTCAAAATTGAGGACTTGGATTTAGATATATACTTAAATATGTGTTTTAACTGTATAGTTTCAAATGTTTCCCCAAATATATGTTTGTGTGTGTGCCTCCAAGTTGTCTTGTGAATTTAATAAGATTTTCTTAGGCATGAAAAGTTCAAAAGAAATTTTGACAGTTCAGTTCTCCGAAAAATGTTTATTACACCTCATTAATGTCCAAACTACATGTCCGAATGTATCGCCTACTATGAATCATCACAAAGGTTAAGATCACCTGGAGAGGCCCTGCTCTCAATTCCACCGCCGTTGCAAACACGATTGGTGGAGACGAGAGACAGTGCCTTCACAACAGTGGCTCCCCGTCTGTGGAATTCCCTCCCCAAAGACTGGTCTGGCCACCTCCCTCCTGTCCTTTAGAAGGAAACTCAAGACTTGGCTGTGGGACCTTGCATTTGACCATTGAACAGCGGCTTGTAAGAAGAAGACATAAGCAATTTCGAAGTGACAATGAATTGACCCAGACCCGGATTTCAATCAGCATGTTTTAACAACTGTTTATTTAATGTTTTGTTTTAATGAATTTGTTGATTGTTCTTATCATTATGATGGCACCAAATGGTGTTTGCTGTGAGGCCACCCTGAGTCCCCCCTCAGGGTGAGAAGGGCAGGGCACAAGTATATGAAATAAATAAATAAATATTCATATGTTCTTTAGAAGTATGCATGTGTGTGCATATATATGTTTAATTATATGATCTCATTGAAAGTAAAACTTACAAAGTAAAGCTAAACATAATTTATCCAAAATTCAAATCCTTATATGCATCTTGGGAACCACATCACAAGATGTGGTAATCTGAAGGGAAGCTATATCTGGATCTACTCATGTACAAGTTTGTACCTGCAAAGGACAGACTCTTCAAAGATCCTCATCATAACTTGTTTCTACTTTGCATTCTGCTCCATCTAAATACAGCTTAATAGGAATGTCTAAAGGGATGGAAAGATGGCAAGTTAGCTTTTATTATTATTGTGAAATATCTTTTTCCCTCATAAAACCCAAGCAATTGATTTTTTTTTTTGCCTTTGTAAAACGTGTACTTCAAAATTTCTGTGAACTGGAATGGGCACAGAATAGGTGAAGATGGTACAATTTGTGTAATCTATATTCCCTGAAGCACATTATTTCTCATTCACAAAATATTTTTCTCCTCTTATCAGAGTGAAACATGCACAGATTGCTCTGACTCTTCCAGCTTTCCACATTAAGGTAAATTCTTGGAAGTGAATGTTAACTCCTTGCCTAGAAATATTTAACCCAATATTATGAGAAGTAATTGCTTACAGTCACGTTTAATGTAATGCTTAGCAGTTGATCATCTGGTTTGTGCCAGAGGTCAGTACGGCCTTGAGTTTGAGGCTAGGAACTCTGGCAAGAATTTTAGTTCTGGATGTCCAATTCATATTATGATACAATGCAGGAGGAAAATTGTGTAGCTCCCTAGAGAGGTTATTAGATTGTAACTTCCAGCAATTGAGCTAACATAGCCAATGATGGGGAATGTTGGAAGCTGCAGTTCAGTGACATCTGGAGGGCCACATAATTCCTACAATAGCTACTTGGATCTTACTTCATGGTATATGCTAGCTTTTCAAGCATGAACCAGAACAAGCACTGTAACTTGGACCACGTCAGTGTCTTATAGGTTCACCAGTTTTGTGGGCTTCCTAAGAGGGAGGGAGGCACACAAGAGACCCCCTACTTTTTAAGGAGGCAATTATACACAAGGAGCCTCTCTCACTGTTTAAGACTTCATTGAGACAAGTCAAGCTCTGCTCATGTTGTCATTGTAAGTAGCTCTTTTGAGTTGAGAGGAAGCTTTGCCTCAACATGGCTCAGCAACTGGACTCCTTGTAGGGCAATCAAATATCTCATCCCCTTAAAGTCCAAGATCTTTAGGGAAGATCTTCTAGTCAGTACCATCTTACCTTCAAACCTCTAAATTTTCCTGTGAAGAGCATCCCTCCATCAAGGGATCACATCACAGGTGGCACTTCTTAAGAAACCCGTAACATTCAATCGAAGTTTGAATTCTATTCTTATATATATATATATATATATATATATATATATATATATAATTAGAAAAAATTAGACTTAGAAGTGAAGTAAGATCAAAAGACAACCTGACAAAATGTCATTACCTAGAAG